TTACTCAGCATGGCAAACACTCCAAGATTTTCAGTGCCTCAGTGCAAACATACCAAAACTAAACAATGCCACTATATATTTTTGCATGTGTGTGTGTGCATGTAATGTCTGAAAGGCCTCTAAGTTTTGTCTTTTTTAAGTTATTCACAGATGTAAAGTGGAAACACTGATGCTATGAGTTGGTTAAACACCATGGTGAATAGTTAGACAGCTTATTCCCTGGTTCTTCCCATCAGCAATGTTTCCTATTTTATGACTTGGGAGGAAATCTGGATGGAGTCTTCCCTGTCAGAAACACTTCAATACAAATCCCACTGAAATTACTAAAATATCCAATGAAAACTTTAAATTCTGGATCAAAATCTGAAGGCCAGAATACCTAATGTGTTTTATTGAGACACAAATAACACAAACAGGAATTTAAAAAATAATGGCAGCATTAAACCTAATTTTATTAAGCTTCTACAAACCACAGAAACACCTGTTCTTCCAGATGCCTGAACGATATTCTAAAATCCAGCTTCAAGAGTTCAGCTGAACTAAGGTTTTACCCAAGAGCTTTGTGAACCTGAACAGACAAATCTTTCTGAAAAAGTAGTTAAAATACTCTCATTTGGATAAATTGCAAACATCTGCTTCCTGTGGCAGCACAGCAGGAGGCTGCCTCTAAAGGATTTTGGCTCAATCTAACAATCCAGCCCCCTCCCTACGGTGTGAGATGAGTGGCACCAACTTAGTTCTAACTCGCTTCACTTCAGCTGTACAAAGATCTTTTACCTGTCCTACACAGGTAAAATCATTCCAATTATCATGAACTGTCTTTGGTTTTGGAAAGCTTTTAGTTTGCTCAAGTCTCAATTGTACATATTCCTGCTCTTGAAACCACAGTTCAGGTTAACAGTTCATACCTGCCTTGGGGATGTCAGTGCCAAGCATGTGGTGATTTTCAGTCTTTGCTCCAACACCTTCCCCTTCTTTTTTATTTTGACAGCAGAATATTTACCCTTCCAGCTGGCAATTTTTGTGATACTCAGTGCCAAAAAGCTTAGCAGAGTTTGCTTTTCAGACAGTTATAAAGTAATGAAAACAAGGTAAAAACAGTCCAGAAAGGGAATAAAGTGCACAGCAAGACAGAGGCAAGGACTACTGTGACCTACTCAGTTTTTTGCACACTTAAGGCACGTAATTCTATGTTAATAAGTGCTGCAGCTGCTTAACATCCCCATGGCCAAAAAAAAAAAAAGTCAGTGATAATTAGAAAATAGGTTTTCTTCCCCATTTTGCCTTTGCACTTCACCATCTATTCTCTATTAACTGCTCTCTTCTTTTGTTTGCTCAGTCTTCTATCTCAAGCAGATAAAGGGTTTCATTAAAGCAAAGCCTAATGCTGTCAGTGGCAGGAGAGCTGCCAACCCTGGTGGTTTTACTAAGTCTATTAAGCTGGCCTTAGCATGCTAATACTTAATAAATTCCTTCTATTCACAGCAGTCCTTTGCAAATATCCCTTTATCTCATATGAAAAACTAAGTTATGCAATTCAAATAAGTAATAAAAGACCAGACCCCACTTTCTATTTTATCTTTATATATATAGTTCTGTCCTAAGAGAAGTAGCAGCATACTATTAATCATAACCTTTGCTGTACCAGAAGCACTTCTTGAGATCACAGGAAGGTCTAACAACAGCTTCATTAAAGTATTCTGTTCCAGGGGTTAAGAAGAAACCAGCACTGGACCATCGAAACAGAACTTTTTTTTCAAGGATTTCCTGCCATAGCCCATTTGCACAGCAGATGTTCTAAACCTATCTGATGGACATCTGCTATACTGATCTAGTATAGTTCATCTCTAATTTATCCGGAGGAAGAAAAACCCAGATTCTACAAATCAGTGACATCTCCTATCACTGCCATAGCATTAAATATGGTAGAAAATACACTGAAGAATAACAAGTGAACCACATTAACAGTACTAGTCAGCATCATCGCTTATCAAAGTAAAAGCCTTTATCCTCCTTAATATAATTTGTCTTTCTTCAGGGCTCCACAGCTCCAGCTATTACTTCAAAGTTTTAAAGCAACAAGGCATTGAATGTTCACCTCTTACATAACGGATCTGCAGCAGTAGAATAGTTTGAGTTCAACAAAAATCTTGGAAAAAAAAAAAATCTGAGGCTTCTAAAAGAAAAAGCAAGAGTGTTCACATCAAAAAGAGAAGATCAATCTTAATTCTTCTCTCCTGAAAGATTAATGTAATTGTTTACGTAATGTAATAAACATGCGAAGGGGGTGGGAGGAAGAGGGCATCACTCTGGTGTCTAATAGAAACATAGTCAATATGCAGTATGATTTATTTAAGGACACATTTACCTGAGAACTACTGTCAGGCAAGTGCAGAAATTATGGTGGTGCAGTCCCACAGCATCATTTCTCCAGCCATTTATGATGACCATAACAGAAAACATTGGCTAGCAACAGCTGATTTTTTATTCATTCTCTGTTTTAAGGCTTTTCAAAGGGTACTGGAGACCTTATTTGTTTTCGTTCATCCAAAACCATCATACAGGTGGAAAAATAATGAAAGGACCATGGTTCTGTGACTAAGACACGATCACATTTTAAACTCAAAACTTAAACTACCCCAGTAAGAAAAAAACACTCATCTTTGTAAGTGTTTAGCAGAGAAAAACTAATCATGCCCATGTCTATTATTAGTGTAGAATTTATACACCAGCTATTCCAGTGAGGCTAACAACACACCAGCAACTTTGCACAGAAGCAGAACGCCTACTGAGGATAATAAACCAGCCCTCTCCATCACGAACTGTCTTTTTGCTTCCCCAAGGAAAGAAAAATTATGGTGAAGCCCCCTACAGCACATGGCAATCGTGTGGCTTAGCCATAGCTCTAGTGAAACCTTCAAATAAAGGACAGCTTGGCACTTAGTGATGAATTAGGCTTCTTCTCAAGCACCTGAGTATACCTCCAAGCAATTCTCCTCTCCATGTTATTTCATTAATTTATTTCACATCCTTGCAGGGCAAAACAGTACATACACTGGATAATGCCACAGCCAACAGACTTCTCACAGGGCTCAGTTCTGCTGTTCTACTGCATGGGAACATCCGCTTGTGCGTGAACAGAAAATACAGATGAGTTAGACTATGAAGAAGCAAAGGAAATTATCTCTTTTGAATAAGCTTACTTTCTTTAAGAGAAATATGGCATCACTTTTTCTATTCTTTTTAAATAAACACTTTTAGATTCTCATCTGAATGATCCATGTGATGCTGATTAATGCACCCATCTAATGAAGGAGAAAAATTTCAATCATTCTGCCCCTAAATTCACATTTAAGAACTCAGTTTTATAACATAATACTGGGTATTTCTGCATTCTTATTTTTTAAGCTTATGGAAAAAAAACCACAGATTAAGGACCTTCACATAAATCTAGTTTGCCCCACTTATGCAGATATGAAAAAAAATAGTAAAATCATGACACAGAATATCAATGTATTTTATAGATTATTATCTAGTGCCATCTTGCTACCAAATTGTTACCTTGTGGTAAAAACCTTAGTTAGGAAAGGGCTGTGTTTAAATGAACTTGTGACACCTGTCCTCCAAAGTTATGTTTGTATAAAAATGGTAAACTTTTAGTAACAAATATAATTATCTCTGAAAAAAAACCATGTATTTGTTATTGAGGAAATTGATATTGTTCCAAAAATGAACTTTTTAAAAAATTATTTTCATTTTTCCTTCAATTACTAACTTTACGTGCCATCAACACATAAAGGTAGGAAAGCAATAAAACCATTATTTCATAAGAAATTCATAGTATTTGTGTGCACAGCTGTTGATTTATATAAGTAGACTTTACACTGCAAAGTAAAAAGTAGGTCAGTGATATAGGACAATGGTTCTTCAACTCAAATTGCCTCCCTGCTTCCATCTTGAAGCATAAAATTCATTCCTCGTATTTTGGAGCACTAAATAAACAGTGTAACTAGACACAGAAGACAAGAATTATTAGACATTATCGACTCTTGATTTTTACACAAAATTCCCATGACATCTATAGAAATTCCACAGCTGCACAAAACAGAATAAGGTCCATGGCAAACACAGCTTTGAGGATTTCCTCTTCAATAAATATCACAAGCATAAGAGAGGCAGCAAATGTTAACATTTTATTTGTTTTGAACATATAAAGGTTATTACTCTCTGAAACAATTCTTTTAGAGCCATCTTGTGGGGGAAATAAGCAATTTAAAACAATACGTCTACTCTTAATTCATTTTCCACTAAAAAGATCAGTGTTCAGTCTGACATCTTCTAGTAGTCTTTCAAAAAAATAAAAAGTCTCAGTCATCTCTGAACTGTACAACATTGTTTAAGCCACTGGAACATGAAAGAAGTGCCTTTATGAACAATCATGTGTTAAAAGATATGTATCATTAAGTTAAAGATGCTATTTTTCTGAAGAATGCTTTTAGGCCAGATTCCGTTCAAACTCCACCCAACTGCAGCCCACAAAAAAAGCTCAAAAACCTAGAGAAGCTGACGTTTCTTTCAGAGCTCACTTGGCCAAATGAGTAAATCTGACAGAACTATTAAATCTAACTAAAATGGGGTAAAGAACCACCAAATAAATCTAAATATAGTAGCAGACTCAGCACTCAAAGCTGAAAAGCTTTTGTTCTTTAACATCCTTAGCGTTGCCAATTTATTTAAAGTTTTTGTAATCTTCTGCTAGTTCTGAAGGACTTTACAACAGTTGTTTATAAAGAACTCACTAAATGAGTTTTCTGTTTGTGTACACTTAAATGAAGTATAGGGTTGGGCAGTCAACTTCAGAACAATTGAAAGTCATGATGCAGGCTTCAGCTACCTAGAGCAATCAAACATCAGCTGCTGCTTTATCTACGTGTCTTGTCTACTAAGCAAAGCACTTAAATTTTATCCTAGAGAACAAAAGCACATATGTAGTCCAAATATCTTACTCGGTTTTAACTTATGCCCTATTAACATACTTCATTTACATAAAACATTAAAATGTATCACATCACATTTTATCAATATGTAATTATTTTATATTATACAAAAGTAAAACAGAATATCACAGACCACTTTTACAAAATGAACAATCAAGAGGTGCCACAGAAATATGCACTTTTTGGAGCTGTTACAATCAGTGTATAGCATAGACTAGCAGGCACCTCTTAATTTTTGTGGTTTTTTAAATAAATAAGGAAATTTGACAACAAAAAAGTCCTATAGTACCCAAAGCCTCTGACAGCTGTAACTAAACAGAACATACTGCCACCCAGACTTATAACCAGACAATTTTGCTAAGGCAAGCATGAGTATGTCAATTTTTAATTTTACAATTCTGTCAAACTGTGAGTGAAAAGGTGTTCATGTGCGCTTACAGCTTTTCTTCCTTCCTCCTTAAAGATGCCAAGCAGATCTCCTTCCTCCACATCCTTGTTAAACTTTGGAAAGGAGCCCTGACTCAGGGGCACTTGCCTTAATGAGATTTTGGATTTCTTTGAATTTTGGATGGTCTTTATCAGCTACCAGCTGCAGCAATATAGCTTCGCTAGTAGTAACTATAATTCCAGTACGAGCAAGACGCTGAAAGAGAAAAGAGCAGAGAGAGAATAACATGAGATACTCGCAAATACGAACGAGTATATACATTTTAAAAATACCACCCGTGTTTTTTACAAAAACATCTCCTATTAACAAAAGTATTACCAATTCCATTCCAGCATTTCTTAGTGGTGCCACTTACAAAGCCAGGAAAAAGTGACTGGCTTTAGACTTTACTGAGGAAAAGGGCTGCCCTGGATTAAAACCAAGGCTTCCTACTTGGACTGGATTCTTTCCCCATGTCAGATTTAATACGCAGAAGACCCCCCCTTTCCTATATCAACAACCCTTTCCCCTTGCATGGTCCTGAGGATAGCTTTCTTCACTCTCATGCAGATCTGAAAGGCCTGGGTAAAACAGTGAGGTCCAAGCCAAAGACATTAAGCAAGAAACTTAATTGTAACAATTTCTCTTTCAGAGCTTGTTGTGTACTAGTACTTCAGCGTTTGGACTATGCAGCACGCTAGAAGCAATAGTCTCAGGAGATGGAACAAAAAGCTCTTTTATAGACCATTTAAATCATATGAGCACAACTGTAGCTCCTTTTAGCTGACATCTCATTACAGCCTCAGTAACTCCTGAGTTAATTCTCACAGGCTACAGAATAAAAAGCATCACTGCACAGAAAGCAAAACTGAAAGAGGTCTGCTAGATCTTGAAAGTGTGCAACTGAACAGAGCAATGCTTTGTGTATCCCAAGCCACAGGACTTATTGCAAAGTTTCTGAACTGCTGAGACCATGGTTGTTGCCTATGTAGCAAAGTTTTAAGTAAAGGCTGACTGCCCCCTACCCTCCCATCAGCTTCCCAGCAACTGTACAGATGCTTTGACAGTAAAACTCTTCATGGATCCAGCTTTCCCTCCACCATCCGCTTTTCAGCTGCATGCTCCACCAAATCTAATGGGGTCCTGAATGAGCCAAAGGAGGGCAAGAAGCACAAAATATAGATACTTATGCCTTCAGACAAGCTTCAATTGTAATTACTAAAGAGAAACTCCAAACTTTCTAGGGCAGACATAGATCCCTGCTATTTATTTTTTCAAATACAAAGCAATTGATGGGGGAAAGTTATTAATTTTAGGGGACCAGTAAAGTATATGTAACTACAGTCTATACAATGATAGACTAACCAGGTTAGACTTGCTCAAGTCAATGCGTCCCGCTTGCAATAATGGCAACAAACCTTGCGATATACTTAAGTTGAAACAGAGCATATAGCTCCCCAGCTCCCCTACTCTGTACAATGACACATTTGTTTAAACCATACACACGAACAAAAGAGAAAAATAGGGAAGTAAAAATGAAATATTATGGCAATGTTTTCAATCATACAAAGTTTCTGCTTTTAACTAATATGGATTAGAGAAAAAACTCACTGTTAAAGAACACTGCCTTCTGAGAAATGTTGATTGAAAAAAAGAGAATGTCTTCTCCTTAGAAACAAAACATGCCATAACATGTCAAAGAGGCTGGCATTGGGTTATACTCTACTTCTAGAACTAAGTATAATTTATATAGTTTTGAGATTAGTAGGAATGAAGAGATGCATGTGTTAAGCATACTGGATGATTTTCAAGGAAAGGAAAAGTTTTCTCAGAACACAGTCCTTCAGACAAAGGAAAGCAGCAAACATCTGTTGCGTCCACACTCCAGGAACAAGTAGAACAGATGCAGAACAGAAAAGAAATCCATCAGGAACAGACTCAATCTGAGACCGAGCAGTGACACGGGTCATCTTTATCAAATAGGGCAGAGATCTGGAACAGCCACAACCTTGGCCAGTTGGGTTGAACTATTTCAACAATAGAAATTTTGAGGTTTTTTGGTTTCTGGGGTTTTTTTGATGGCAAGTTTTTGCCTGCAGAAGCAGAGACAATAACCCTTTGGGCTCATTCAGGCAGACACGACAACTTTGGCTATCAATTAATTCAAACTGCACTTCCTAGTACACCTGTTCAGATATTTGCATGTTCGTCACCAGCACCATCAAAACACATACATAGGTGAGGGGAAATGTGGAGAGCTAAAAGGGCATGTGGGACCAGATGGGACTTGAGGTTGCTGAGGAAGCTGGTTGTTATGACTGCAGGATCACTCTTTATCATCCTTGAAAAGTCATTGTGAACAGAGGAGGGCTGTGTTACTGGGAAAAGGTAAATGTTACACACATCTTCCCAGAAAGGTAAGGAAAAGGATCCAGGGAACCCAGATCAATGAACTTCACCTCAGCTCACCAGGAACAGAGCAAGTTTGCATAAGAGACATCGTCAGAGTCACCAGTTAAAAGAGCGTGACTACAAACTGCCAGCTGTACAGTAAAACTAGGCAGGATTACACGATGTTTTAGTATTTTACCAACTTCCCTAAGAAACATATCACCACGGTACATTGGAATTACTGGCATGCCCAGCACACGTGTCGCTTTCTCGTGGTCTCCTGCTCCCAAGTATGCCCACCTCCTGCCTACTCTAGCCCACCTCCCTCAGCAGTATTTTTAAGAGAAGCTCCACATCACAAAGAGGAGACAAGGCTGGTGTGCACAACCACAGAGGTGTTCCTGCCATAGGACTGGCTGGCTCACCACAGCAAGCCAGCAAGTGTTCCCTGAATCATATTTTAATGATGACCACTTAAGGGACCATAGCAAAACATCTTCTTTTGTGCTTGGAGAGAAAACATTGCAAAGTTACCTAAAACTGACCAGTTTGCCTGGATTACAGCTTTTGCAACCAACTATGCTTTCAAGATTATTGATATGTTTTTGACTAAAAAGAAAAGCAAAGCTAGCTGCTCACTACTTCAACCTCTATTACACTGAACCAACTTCTATGCTTGCAGACACAAGTGTAAGTGATAATGAAATGTAGAAAGACATACACAATAAGACAAACAGATTTCAGTTTTTCTGTATTTGTTTCATCTGCTGCTGCATCACATTGACTTGGGAAGTCCACGATTTCAGTCATTCCTGCACTCTGTGTGCGTCACTATGCTTTACGTGACAGGCCACATTAAGCTTGCACTTAATCAAAGTCACGGGTTTCATCAAATGCTATATGCTGGTGACTTCCCTTTAGCCCTTAATTCTCTTATTCATGAGAAACAGAAGAAATTAAAAGTCTTCTCCAAATCAATGAAAAAAAGTATAATATGCTGCAGTTGTTATTAGTTTCAATTTCCAAATAATTGTCAGTGCTTGAGGCAAAAATTGCAATATTTAATGTATATATCAGTTTTCGATTCCCAACAGTGATGCCTGTAGGCAAGTTAGAGTAGTATCAAAAAATTATTTGCATGAATCTGCTACCACGTAATCGTACATGCCTTTAAATCTTCTTGTTACATTTATCTCTACTATCTCAACATTTAGTTAGACTAAGCTCCTAGAATGGAGGGTGGGAGGGGGGGAGTTTTTCACTATAATCACAGGGTCTTGAGATTAAGCTTTAATTTGCACTGATGAGGAAGAGCAGAGGGAGGGACAGACATACAAGAAAGAGTTTTGAACAGGATCACTTATTATATTCCACTGCATTTAAAGGAATTTCAGCAACAGAACAAATACTGTTTGGAATAACAAAACCAAAAGCTCTGTAGCACTTTTACTGTGCTGTTACAGATAACACTCCATAAGAAAATATCCTGAAATGCTAATGGTTATACAGAGTAACCTAAATTGCACAAAACAATCACTTTGAAAATCCAAGTGTCCCAAACTGGGTTCCACATATTAAATCATAATTTAGTGAAGAAAAATAAGGCAGTAATCTTTCTCCACCCTGGAAGCTATTCTGAGAATCAGAGCATCCACCCCCTCTCAAGTCTACATTTGTCCACTGCTTACTGTCCTTAGAAATTCCTTGTTACCCTAAAATAAGCAGTGCAATTAACATACAGACCCAAGGTGGAGAAAGCTGTGACTACGAAACTTACCTCAAGAGCAAACATTCTGTCCATCATACTTCTTGATGAGGTGGCATCAGCTACGATATGAACTTCCAGACCCCTGCCAATTAATTCCAATGCTGTTTGCTGGATGCAGACATGAGTCTACAGGGGAGAAATCAAAGGCAAAAACCCCACCAATGAACCATTATTGTTAATCATGAGTAGCACAATGCCAAACTAGAGTATATAATTAATTAGGGTTCAAACATTTTTTTCTCTATCCCTGACATGACTGGGGAAATCAAGGTGGGTTTTAAATGCCAGCCAAGCTTGAGACAAGAGCCTGTAGTTTACATATATCTCATTTCAAATTTTATTACGAGATAACACCAAAGACAAGAATAATTTAATCTTTAGAGGACAGCTGAAATCTAAGCAATATAAGTTGACTTTTTTTTTTTTATTATTACAGAAAGCAATGCTTAATACTCTTGCGGGCCAACAGACATTACCACAAAACAGTAAAAATGGCAAGGCACATACTTCTACTCCAAACAGGACAACACTGCGGACTCCAGGGATCTCTGCTAATGCTGCTTCAACTTCTGGCAACACCATTGAAAATTTTGTTTTGGGAAGCACAAGTTTAGCTCCTGTTAAATCAATTTCTTGCACAGTGCTGCCAAGACCTTTGGGATACTGTTCAGTTACAATAACTGGAATTCCTAAGAGCCGTGCACCTTGGAGCTGCAAGGGGGCAGGAAGGAAAGCATACAAGAAAATAAATTATTAAAGAACGATAATAGCAAAGACATTGTTATAACCAGAAACTGAATAACCAGTAAACTGGCTGTGTATAAAATAATAATTTATATGTGTGGCAAAAACTCATTACAAGAAAGAAAAGCAAAAACCATACCAGTCGTTGGCCCACACTGATTATATCACCAAAGTACTTGATGGCAGGCCGGAATCGCTCTTGCATATCACAACAGAAAAACACAGTGCTTGAGGGTGTCAGGTTGCCCAAAGTAGTCATCTGAAAAACAAAACAAAGAAAATGTTTCCCGTGGCAGTGAAGACCCTTTCAGAAAAGCAGCAGAATGAGAAAGAGTCTGCAACTCCTCTGCCAGGTAACAGATTTTGGTGTTTTTCTAAATTCAGATGAATGGCTGATACTGAGCAGTATAGTACAATCATCAATAGGCAACCAAGATTTTATTAGATGGGAGACACAAGTCATTGTAAATGCACATGGAAACTTCTGAATCTTGAAGGGAGATGGAGGAACATACTGCCTAAAGTACTGTCAAAAAAAAAAAATACCAACAGCAAAATTACATTCCTCAAATTCATTTTTAAATCCACAACTTTTGGAACTGACATAAAATCAGGATAAACTAAAGTTAAAAAAAAAAGTCAGACTTCCACTTGCTTTCAATATTGTATGTACATATATTTTCAATAGTTTCATTGTGCAGTCTGTTCTGTCTATGACATTGCTTAGCACAAGTCTGATGAAAGCCCAAAGGCTAGAATAAAAGCAGAGAAGCTTATCAGTATTATGACAAGACACTGAACCAAATATATTTTAATGACAAAAATAATCTCCCAGTTTCTCTCATACTGGCTACTGAGTGAGGTAGAAGGGGGGGGGCTTAAGAAAAAATAAATCAAATATTGCATTTTCTCACGCTTTGAAAGAGTGCTTTGTATTTATATGAAATTACTTGCACTACCTGCAGAAGCAAAGGACAAGGCTTCAACTGGAGGCTACAGGGAAAGAAAGCAGCTACAAACAGTTGTAAGGCAACTGAAGAGAAATTACATCCATTCAGGAGATTTTTATTAGACTGATAAATCAAATTGAGTAAACTGCTTCTGGGAAGTAGACATTAATTGTATACACTTCATTTCCTGCAAATGAGGTTGTGATGTTTTAAACTAAAACAAAATTATGAAATCTGTAAAGTAGCGTATTTTGGAAAAGCAGCAATGTATTGAGTTTAGGTTTTGGTTGTGGGGGGAGGCTGCAGGTGTGGCTTCTATGAGATGCCAGGAGCTGCCCCATGTCTGACAGAGCCAAAGCCAGACAGCTCCAAGAGGGACTCACTTCTGGCCAAAGCTGGGCCATCAGTGATGCTGGTGGCACCTCTGCGATAGCATATTTAAGAAGGAGTTAAAAACCACTGTGTAACAGGAGCTAGGAGAGAGGAGTGAGAACACATGAGAGACACAACTCTGCAGACACCAAGGTCAGTGAAGAAGGAGGGGAGGAGGTGCTCGGGGAGCCAGAGCAGAGATTCCCCTGCAGCCCGTGGTGAAGACCCTGGTGAGGCAGCTGTGCCCCTGCAGTCATGGAGGTCCATGGTGGAGTAGAGATACACCTGCAGCCCATGGAGGACCCCACACTGGAGACGGCAGATGCCTGAAGGAGGCTGTGACTCTGTGGAAAGCCTGTGCTGGAGCAGGCTCCTGGCAGAACCTGTTGCCCTGTGGACAGAGGAGCCCAGGCTGGAGCAGGTTTGCTGGCAGGACTTGTGACCCCATGAGCGACCCATGCTAGAATAATCTGTGCTGAAGGACTGCACCCTGTGGAGAGGACCCAGGCTGGAGCAGTTAATGAAGAACTGCAGCCTGTCGGAAGGACTTACCTTGGAGAAGTTCACGAAGGGCTGTCTCCCATGGGAGGGACCCCACACTGGAGAAGGGGAATACAGCAAGGAGGAAA